AGTGAGAAGCAACTTTGCACCCACAGGGATAGATATAATCAAAAAGAAGGACATTAACAAATACGGGCAAAGGTGTGGAGGTATTAGAACATTAAAACACATATTCATTGCTGGTAAGAGTTATGAAATGGTACAATTTCACTGGAAAACAGTATGATAGTTTCTCAAAAAGTTAAACAGAATTATCACATGATTCAACAATTCCACTCTTCAGTGTATGCTGAAGAGTACTGAAAACCTGTCCATATGAATTTCTAGATTTTTTTCTATTTCTGTAAAGAACACCATTGGGATTTTGATAAGGACTGTAATAAACCTGTAGATCACTTTGGGTAGTATAGACATTTAAAAAATATTAATTCTCCCTAACCATGAACACAGGATGGTTTTCTCTTTATCTGTCTGTGCCTTCTTTAGTTCCCTTCATCGATATTTCAGTGTATAAGTCTTTCACCTCTTTGGTTAAGTTTATTCCTAAGTATTTTATTCTTTTTGCTCCTAATGTAAACAAAAGATTCTAAATAGCCAATGCAATTTTGAGCAAAAAGAACAAAGCTGGAGGCATCACACTTCCCGATTTCAAACTATATTACAAAGCTACAGTTACCAAAACGGTATGGTATTGGCATAAAAAAGACATATAAACATATGACAGAATAGAGAGCCCACAAATAAATCTGTGCACTTATAATCAACTAGACTACAACAAGAATGCCAAGAACACACAGTAGAAAAAAGACAGTCTCTTTAATAAATGGTGCTGGAAAAACTGGATATCCACATGCATAAGAATAATGGAATTTTATTCAGCCTTAAGAAAGAAGGAAATCCTGACATCTGTGACAACACGGATGAACTTAGAGAACATTAAGTGAAATAAGCCAGACACAGAAAGACAAATATTGTATGATCTTACTTACATGTGGAATCTAAAATAGTTAAACAACGAGAAGGAGAGTAGAAGGTGGTTACCAGGGGTGCGAGGGAAGGGGAAATAGGAAGATGTTGGTCAAAGGCCACAAAGTTTCAGTTCTGCAAAATGAGTAAGTTCTGGAGCTGGTGACTATAATTAACAAAACTATATAGTAGTTTTGAAATTTGCTAAGACGGTAGATCTTAAGTGTCCTCACCATAAAAAGGACGTCATAACAATGTTTTAACAATATAATTATGGCAGCATCATTCATAACAGCCAAAAGATGGAAACAACTCAAATGCCCATCAGCTGATGAATGGATAAACAAAAGGTAGGCTATCTATACAATGGAGTACAGTCTGGCCATAAAAAAGGAATGAGGTAGTGACACATACTTCAACACTCATGCAACTTGAAAATATAATGCTGTATCAAAGAAACCAAACACGAAGTCCTCACATTTTATGATTATATTTATATGCAATGTCAAGAACAAGGAAATTTATAGACATAAAAAACAGATTAGTGGCTGCCACGGGCTGAGGAATAAGAAGAGGGAGTGACTGCTAATGGACATAGAAGTTCTTCCTGGGGTGATGAAAATGTTTTAGAATTAGTGCTAATGGTTGCACAACTCTTTGACTATCCTAAATACCACTGAATTATACCCTTTAAATGTGTGAATTTTATCATATGTGAATTCTAGTTCAATAAGCTAGTATTAAAAAGAATAATCCTATTTCACTTCTAAATAGTATCTCACTTCTAACAGACAATTTGACCAGCCTGTGCAAACCACAGTTCTCCAGCACCCCCCACACTTCCCACATTCACTTTTTATTAATCTGAAAGTTATTAATGCTTGAGAAACCCAGAAACACAGAGGGTTAAAAATGAAATTTGGAACTTAGCTATCAGACACTTTTTGAAAGGGTGCATGTCGTGGGAGAAAATAAACTGAGTTGGTAGATTTAAGAGGATTGACCTAAAGAAAGTCTAGGAAGTGGTTAAAAGGCAAACGTTTTTGCATAATGTAGTTAACATCAGTTGTTATTCTATAAAGACTGATTAAATCTATCCAAATTTGAGGGGACGGAAGTGAGTCATTCTAATGAAGCAGGAAGAGTTATAAATATGAGCTGCATGCATTTAAACGTGTACAATAGTTCCTGATTGCAACTGGGAGAAAGCTTCCATCAATAACTTTATGAGCCGTATCACAATGCAGTGGAGAAAAGATGGTAACATAAGAACCTGAGGTGAAACTGAAAGCATTCATGCTTGCTACCCTTTAGAGCAAGTCTCCAAACTTTTTCTGTAAATAGCCAGACAGTAAATATTTTAGGCTTTATGGGCCATATAACTGTAAAAATTAATAAAGGGAAACATCACTAAAATGGAATCGGGAGGCCAGAAGGAGGAGCTCTCACGCCCTGCCACTAGACTTCAATTACAGGAAGAAACCTGGATTGGAAAGAATCATCAGTTACAGGTCCCAACGCGAAAAGATGTTACCTTGCAACTCCTGTAAGGAATCGACTGCCCCAGCAACTCAGCCAACAACAAACTGTCATCATCCTGAACTCCCGCTTTTCTTCAATGGACTTTCCTTCAAAATAACCACTCCCAACTTCCTCCTCCTCCTCCATAAAATGAGGTTCCTCTCTTTGGTTGTTGGACTAGCCTATGGTTTCTGCCATAGCTTGTTTGTCCCGAATTACAGTTCTCTGCTATTGCCAAATAAACCCAGTTTGACTGGTAAAATAACTATCTTATTTTTTTTAAGATTTTATTTACTTATTTGAGAGATAGAGAGCACGCACGAGAGGGGGGTAGGGTCAGGGGGAGAAGCTGAGCGCGGGGAGCCGGATGTGGGGCTCGATCCTGGGACTCCGGGATCATGACCTGAGCCCAAGGCAGACACTTAACCGACTGAGCCACCCAGGCGGCCCTTTAACTATGTTATTTTTAAAGTTAACACAGCTCTTTCACACCCATTCAACTTTGCCTTTGTAGCATGAAAGCAGCCATAGACAACAGACAATAAAAGCAGCTATGTTCCAACGGTAGTTTACTTTAAAAAACAGGCAGCAGGCCAGATTTGGCCTGTGGAGGACAGTCAGCCAACCCCAGTTTAGGGGACAAGGACAAGAGTTATGTGAGTAGTGAGAAAGACAGAAACTGCCCTGGGACTCACAGGTACTCCTCAGACTTCAACTTGTCTGCTCCACACCAGCAGTTGGAGGCCTAGGCCAGTTAAGTATCATCAGTTTCAAATTTGAAAATTCTGCTCAACCTTCAGGTTCTGGCTCATGTTACTATCATAGGAAAAGACCTCGCTACTTGGCTGGAAGTAAAAACACTGTCCTCTGAGTTTCTATATCACCTTCTTATAGATCTCTTTCTTTCTTTTTTTTTTTTTTTAAGATTTTTCATTTATTTGAGAGAGAGGACGAAAGCGGGGTGAGGAGCAGAGGGAGAAGCAGGCTCCCCACTGAGCAGGGAGCCCAACGCGGGGCTCGATCCCGGGACTCCAGGATCATGACATGCATGAGCCGAAGGCAGCCACTCAACTCACTGAGCCACCCAGGCGCCCCGTTATAGATCTCTTTCAACACATTTTGCACTTTTCTTAAACCAGAACTGTTGGTATGTAGGTTTTACACTTCCTTAGTACATAAAAAAAAATCTTACTGGGCGGGCCGTTGGAGGAAAGGCTGAGGCATCGCTGTCTGCACCGTCGGACCAGGAACCGACCAGGAACCGACCAGGAACCGGTTGCCCTAAGCCAAGGCAGGGGGTGACGCGGGCTGTGTCCCAGCCGGGCTGCCACCACTACCGCGCAGCGTGTGCGGTCGGCACGCTGTCAGCGGGGGCTCCACCAGCGAGCAGAAGCGAGCCGACAGCAGGAGCTGAGCGGCGCCACCTACGTCCCAGCCCCACCCTGCTACGCCAGCCGCGCCCGCCCACGCGGCACCCCCCCTTCCCCGTGACTGCGCAAGGGCGTAGTGGGGCTGCAGTGGCGGAATATGTCCCTACTGTGCCAGCTGTGGGCCTGTACGAGTCACTCCCGGACCACAAGCACCTGGGCCGAGACCCGAGCCTGTGCCAGGACCTGTTGTCCTCCCTACATTCAGACACCTGCTAACGCTATCTGCTAGCCTATCTGATGACGACAAGCCATTGATGCAAGCCTACCCCCACACCCGCCACCCCTCACTGTGCCAGCGACACATAATGCCTGCGACCAGTGGCTGCAGGATGCCCTTCACGTCGGCCGCTGACGAGTTGGGGGGCAAGGAGCATGCACTTGTGCAAAAGGCTGAGAAACTCACCCCTCAGCAAGTAAAGACTATAGTGGCTAGATTCCCCCATAGCACCTCACCTCACGGGGGGGCAAGGCTTCAGAGGCCAAAGTGCCCACCCCCTCCCTTCTGTCTTGGGTTAACTATGGCATGGGGTTACAGCCTCTGCTGGTGAGGCACTGGACTTCCATTTGTCCCACATGTGTGCATCCCAGCTTGGCCAACCTTCAGTCTAGGGGTGAGTCCCAAAGCATCTTGCACTCCTTTCAGCATCTCTGAGATTGGGACAAGTGCCTGATTCCTACCTCCTTTTCACTTACTGCTGCTATCGGCAGCTACTGGCTCAGGGGCATCCCCCCTCTGGTTGCTGGGTTCCACTGACCTAGACAAAGGCTTCAGGACCTGTTCCTGCACCCACCCAAGGCAGGGAGGACTAAGGCTCCATGCTGGATATTTAAATTTAGGGGCCTGCCTCCTGGGGTGACGATAAATACTCTCTGAGCTTAAAAAAAAAAAAAATCCTTGGACGCAATAACTATGTTTTGTCCTTCTTTACATTCCCTACAGCGTCAAATGCTTTTCCTGGCACATGAAAGGCACTTAACAAATAATTATGGATACTGTATAAGTGCCAACACTAAAGTATTCACAACGAGGCCACAAAAGAGATACAATTTATAATACTGGTGGAACAAAATGAAGTTTTTAATCCTCTGCATGTCATTTTAGCGAATCTTAAAATATTTGAAGCATGTGAAAGCATCGAATAATTATCTTACCTGGATACATCCTTCATCAATCTTGCCCCTTTCAGGATCAATTTTAAAATGTGCAGTTTTTTGAAAACGGTACATCACAGGAAGTGAGTTAGATCGATTTTGCATAATACACAGAAGCTCTGAATGTTCACCCATGAAACAAGGTGCAAAATTAAGGACCTTTCCTGGATCAAACTGTAGTAAGACAGGAAGTCCTGTGCCTGTCAGTGCTAATTCCACTTTCTGAAAACGATCACCTGTAGAAGCAATAATAGCTTTTTAACATAAAAAGTGTTGGGAATCCAGACTATATTTGCTCGGTCCAAATAGCGTCATCTGAAAGACCTGATGAGACATGGGTAGCCCATTCAATCTTTCATTCAACAAAATTATTAAGTGCCTTCTCTATGCCAAGTACTCATCTAGGCTGTGGGGATACAGCAGTGAATAAAATAGACACAGTTCCTGCTCTCATGGTCTTCATATTCTAGGGAGGTGGCATTGACAATAAAATAAGGAAATATATAGCACTTCAGACAGGATAAGTGCTATGGGGAAAAGTAATGTAGGGTGAAGGGGAGCACAATTTGTCACCCGAAAACATGCCTCTTTGGCATAAGGATTAGGGTTTTTTTAAAGATTTTATTTATTTATTTGTCAGAGAGAGAGAGAGAGCACACACAAGCAGGGGGAGTGGCAGGCAGAGGGAGAAGCAGGCTCCCTGCTGAGCAAGGAGCCCAATGCGGGGACTCAATCCCAAGACCCTGGGATCATGACCTGAGCCAAAGGCAGATGCTTAGCGAACTGAGTCACCGAGGTATCCCTGGCATAAAGATTATTTTAAGCTGACTATTGTTATGTAACAGCAGATACAGGAAAAACTCTGAAAACTACTGGGAAGAAACTCTCATCAAAGAAGGCAGATACTTAAGTCTGCATAACAACCATACCCTCCCTTACTGTGACTTGAAAACCTCCCATAACTGGCTGCCACACTTCAACATCTTTTGTCTTTAGCTGGAGATGGCATTTAAAGTGATGGCTCCGGCCATTTTGGGGAGTCGCTCAGTTTTCCTGGGTCTCTCCCATGTATAGAGGAGGCATACATGTTATTAAACTTCTGTTTGCTTTTTTTCCCTCTTAAACTGTCTTTTTTTTTTTTTTTAAGATTTTATTCATTCATGAGAGAAAGAGAGTATGAGAACAAGAGGTGGGAGAGGAAGAAGCAGGCTCCCCACCGAGCAGGGAGCCCTACACCGGGCTCCATCCCAGGACCCCAGGATCATGATCTGAGCTGAAGGCAGATGCTTAACTGACTGAGCCACCCAGGTGCCCCCCTTCTTAATCTGTCTTTTATTAAGGGGGGTCTCAACCAAGATCCTAGAGAGGTAGAGGGGAAATTATCTTTCCTCTCCTACAAGGGTAAGTAAGACAGAGCACAATGTCTTGGGGCTGCTCTTTTATATGGGAAAGTCCAAAAAGGCCTCTCTTGATGGGGAGACATTTGAGCAAAAATATAAAGGAACTCAGGAAGAAAATCATGTGAAAATCCAGGAAAAGTGCATTCCAGACAGACAGAAGAACAAGTACAAAGACTCTAAGGTAGGAATTTCCTTGGCATGTTCCAAAAACCCTAAGGTACCAAATGTGGCTGGGTAAGAGTAGTAGAAAAAGGATGAGAAATGGTCAGATTTAGGGGCACCTGGGTGGCTCAGTTGTTAAGCGTCTGCCTTCGGCTCAGGTCATGATCCCAGAGGGAAGCCTGCTTCTCCCTCTCCCACTCCCCTTGCTTGTGTTCCTGCTCTCGCTATCTCTCTCTCTCTCTCAAATAAATAAATTATAAAAAAAAAAGAAATGGTCAGATTTAACATATAGTTTTAACGGGAAACTTAACAAAATTTGCTGATGGACTGAATATAAAATAGGAAATTGAACACATGATAAATGGTGATGGTAAGGTCTTGAACTTGAGCAATGGAAGAGATAGAATTGCCATTTCTTGAGACAGGAAAGACTGTAGGAGGGACAGGTTATAGGGAAACCAGGAGGGTTTTTCTGGGCATGTTAATTTTGAGATGCCTAATAGATATCCAAGTGGAAACGTCTGCTGGGTCACTTAATGTATTTACCAGTTTAGAGTAAAGACCAAGGAGGAAGTCTTGGATGTTTGAGGTGAGAAGGGAAGGTGTGTGATACTGATCTCATATTGTGAGAAAGTGAAGGAAAGGAGGAATGCAGCAGGAATGTCAACCATCTTAAAGGATCCACTTGGGGTTAGTGATTGTAGAATAAAAAGTGAAACAGCACAGCATGGTTTTATGCTTTTCCCCAGCACAATTAGCTTCCCAGGTGCAGACCCAGGGTAGGCTAAGAGTTGAATTTAATCAGATTAGAGGTTTGCCACTCAGTCACTATGGGATACGGGTCAAGAAACTTAAGTGTACATGGAAAAAAGGTGATTAAAATAATGGACAGGGGAATATAAGCTGGGCAATAACATAAACATGAAGTTTTGGAGACACCAGAGAGGAGGTAGGAACTATAAACTATAGGCTCTAATTGGGTGAACGAACAGTTTTACATTGAGAGCACTGTAACTAGAATCCAAAAGAAGATTGTGTATTTCTTCACTGAGGCTCTTACTAGCCAACCCTAGACTCTGAATTACCTTTAAGGCAAACCTACCATCTCCATCTCTGGCCATTCAAAACCAGATTAACTTGCAAGATTCAAACAAATCTCCTGTCTATGATAGGCAGGCAGAGCTCAAATCACAAACCATGACACAAATAATAGCAGGGCACTCAATTTCTGTCCTAGGAAAATGGTACAAGCCTGCTCAACAATATCACTCATCCTGACACACAAATCTTCTTGACTCTTGACTTGCCATGGCTCATCTTTCTAGATCCAGTCCCTCACCTGTCTCTATCTTTATTTTCTCTTTGATCTGACTAAGCTGAACTCCAAGTCTTGCCAATTTCCTCACTACAGCCCATCTAATACTACCTGAGAATATTAAAAAGTACAATGCCCCTTGACACATGGCCTGCAAGGCATATGCACTTACCAGTACCCCATAACAGGATACTGTACCCTATTTACTAGAGCTCCAGTTCTAGGTCTTGTCCTTTGACTGTTACTGAATGCAGACTCTAAGAGCTGAAGGCCTGGTAGAGATGGAATGGGTCGTTTGTTCCCATATTAATCTCTAAGAGATGGGGCGCCTGGATGGCTCAGTCATTAAGCGTCTGCCTTTGGCTCAGGTCGTGATCCCAGGGTCCTGGGATCGAGCCCTGCATCAGGCTCCCCGCTCCGCGGGGGGCCCGCTTCTCCCTCTCCCACTCCCCCTGCTTGTGTTCCCTCTCTCGCTGTGTCTCTCTCGGTCAAATAAAAAACAAAAAAACAAACAAAAAAAACAAAACAAAACAAAACAAAAATCTCTAAGAGAAAACATAGACTTAAATGGGAAAAGAAGCCAGGTTGGTTTTTTTCTTTTTTCATTCCTTAACTCTAGATTATCATATTTATCTAATGTCATTTAAAAATAATGAAGTCATCTCAATTTTAACTTGGAAAATTGTTATGTAAATGATTCTGAGGTTGACTTCTTTCTTAACATGACACAAAAGACATTTTAAGGTCTCTTGAATGTTTGCATTTTTGTTCGATTCAATAATTATACACTCTTATTAAATTGCCTCTAGAAATATGATATCCAAACTTTTAAATAATTTAAACTGCTATACATTTGATGCTTATGTTCATTTCGCACTTACTTTTGATGGTTTTACTGTTATCATCCCTCAAAAATCCATCTTTACTTCCCACAGAGTCAAATCTCAAAAAGAGAGCATAGTCCTGCCTGTGTGAAGGATCATTATTCTTTTTACCATCAATCATTAGCCTGTAAAAAATTACAAATATTTTGAAGGCAAAGATGATGCACTGTATTAGCTCTCAATAGGAATCAACCCAATCCTTAAATCTATGCAAACAGATGAAAGTTCAGGAATAAAAATATAATTGTGATCTATTTTCCAAAATTACTGCCCAGATACAGAGACTTGCCAAAAGAAGGCCACAAAGTGTAAAGATTCAGAAAATGGGTTCATGACAACATGGGCAAGACAAAAGTAATTTAAATATACTAAATTGTAAAGGTCCAGCTCCAGTGTCACTTTCTATGTAAAGGATTTTCTTTCCAAGCCGAGTTCATTGCTAGCTAAGGGTTTTGTTCAATTCTTTAGTTCAATAGTCCTTCATAACTCTGGGTGTAACTGCAAATCTCTGTTCCATATCTGTCTCCTCCTGTGGACTAAGCACATGTTGCTAGCCACATTCTCCATATTCTTAGAGGAGAACAAGCGATTTGGAGAACAAGATTTGATAACAGCCAAATCTTGTCAAAGGAGAAAAGGAAAGGAAAGACGGGAAGGGGGAAGAAGGACCAAAGTCAGAGATGGGTTACCTCTAGACCTGCGTGTTGACTGTCTTTACTTGCTTACCTAGAGGGCAGCTATTTTAGCAGTGGATACTCAAATACACACACACACACAAAGACTGATATGAAATATTACACAGGAATGGAAGTAGCATGTTAAAAACGAATTTAACTAAGACTTCCAACCATTATCATATCTATGAGTTTATGCTAGACTTTCACAAAAAGCATGCTGCCATGAAAAAGAATATTTAGAATTTCAAAGATCGTGTGTTAAACAGACTCTTCTATGTTGGCCAAGAAATTACCTGCAGGAAAATATGATTCATGAGGCAATTACAGATTGTACAAATAGAACAATTACTTGATTTATTACCCTCCTTAAATTAAAATACAATTCAGTCTCCACCAATCGGTATCATCATCAAGCGACCCTGTTGCCACATAGAGAAGTACACTGAACAGTGTCTCCTCACAAAGGTAAACATACAGTTGGATCGATTATTTGCCATAACCGGCCACCTCTCAAGTATAGCTGAAATTGTTCCTATGTATTTAAAACAGCATTTCCAAATGTATTTTCAAACTAAATAACCAAACCGAGTACAGAGAATTATGAAAAATATACATTGGCAAAAGTTCTACAAGTCTGTAGAATTTCAGCAAGCAAGTGTGGTGCATCCCAGCAGCTGCTACAGGCTTACTCTTTATGCTCCTTAGCAAGCATCTTGCTGTGGCAAGAGCCCTGCATCCTCTTTGGAGGCACCGACACACCCTGCATGCCACTGGCTATCCCCTATTTCTGCAGGGACAACAAGGTCTTGTTGCACAGATTCGTCTGGGCCCACAACACAAAACCACACAGAACTTCCGCTTCTACAAGGTCTGAAGAGATTTGTAATCGAACATGAAATATTTAGAACAAAATTCTTAAATGTTCGAAATCATATTAACCATGTTAGAAACATTGAGAGCCATAATAAGAAAAATCTGATTGGTGCCTTCTGACCAGCTTTACTGTTAAAGTCAGTTTGATGAATGTATGATTGACATGCTTTTGATTAATAAAAAACACCATAACTGAATTTTTGCTTACTTTGGGCTGAAACAAAATGTAATTACAATCTTTTGATAAGGTAGTAACCTCCCTTCATTAGGAACACAGGAGATAAAAGTGGTAACATCCCTGTTCTTTATTTTGCTCAAGTAGGTGAGATTATTTAAAGCAACATCTGTTCTTTGTCGAATATTTGTGCCCTGTAATATAAAATCAGACATAAAAAGAATATTAAGGCAGAACGCAAATAAAACATCTTAAGAGATCATAACATAATTGAAATTTTAGCCTAGAAAATCAAGAATATGAATGTCTTTAAAGAAACATACATAAATTTGACTAAAGCACATCATAAAATTAAAGGAACTGTTGAAAAATTGATGAGAACAGAAATCCCCACAACTAGCTGCTAATCTATAAGAAGCACTTGTCTGGTTTACTTCAGATACATATCACTATCAGTGTTATTTAATTTACAGAATTTTTTGAGGTTACCCTTGAAGACACATGAAAGGGAATCATATCTATCCACATGTTGAAACGTACTTAGAATAATTTAACAGCTTTTTTTGTTATTAGTAAATTCAAAACAATCTGTTTCAAAACATAATACCCGATTTTCCCCTGTTGCACTATTTACTTACCAGTTCTTCTCCAACTGAATCATTTTGCATTATGGCCACCCAGTTTATGGGTTCTGGGCTATTATTGTATAGAAATGCATGTTCAATTTTTGAAGTTCCGAAGAAAACTGAACCAAAGTGTATGCATTCCAACTTTTTGTCATTACTTATGTTTAACAATTCAATAATCTGCTCAACCACATGAGCTTTGACACTCAAGAGCATATCTGGACGACCTTGCAAACTCACTCTACAAGATAATGAATTATACACATATATTTTAATTAGAATTTTATATACTTAATTTTTCTCCTATATATTTGAATAAACAGAAATTTTATAACATCACATTATAATTAAAATTCAAAGGCCTAAGAGCAGTTCCTTTCTCATACATGCCAGAGAATGTCAGGTCCTTCTGACTATCTGAATCTGCACAGTTCAATGGCATATGTACAACCTAATCCATTGTCCCCAAGAAACAACAAAGTTGGAAAACAATCACACGGATTGACTCCAAAAAGAACTTATTGCTAGGTCCGTATCACCAATTATTTCGTAAACACTAGAATTAGATGGGATGATTTAGATTTCTAAAAGAATTCTAAGATTCTTTTCTAACTCATCCCACTCCCCCAAGTCCAACAACCAACCTCATCCCCATCCTAATAACCCAATTCTCTATGAAGTGTCTCAGCAAAATCCCACTTGTTTGCTGAAATGAAGATCCCCCCCCATAAAGCTTCATTTCCTAGACTAATTTCAACTTCCTTTTGAAACTGCCCACATATGCACATTTATCCCTCTGTGGCATAAGTGCAATCCTTTTGACTCTCACCCCATCAAATACCACAAATAAATGACCACTCCACAACCATCACCTAAGTCCTTATCTTACATTACATCTCTGTCACAGTGCTCAGGGCTGATATCATCTACATACATCTCTCCTCCCTTAGCTTCCTTGACACCAAACTTGGCTGGTTTCCTTCTAACTTATTCAGACTTTACCTTCTCATTCTTGTGTGGCTTGGATATTTTATACACTCCATGAATAATGGCGTCTCTCTCCTACTCTTTTATACTCCGCCCTCCTTGTCAAAGTTATTTTCAACACTTCATGCTTCATCTACAACTTATCCACTGACAACCCGCAAGCCAATATACCTAGACCAAATTTTTTTTCTGGGACTCAAGATAAGGAAATCTAATAGGCTCCACAGGATTCTGCAAAGCAAATCAATTCCAACAGTTTAAAACTGAACTCAAGATCCTCTCCCCCAGACCTGTCCTTCCTCTTACCATCCCTTTCTAGAACCAGTCACTACATCTAGTTAACATTTCTCCAGAACATTTCTCCAATCGGCACACTTCTCTCCATACTCCTGATTTGTATCTTAGCTGAAGCTTTCATCATTTCTCTTCTGTTTTACAGTTTCTAGTCAGGCTACACCTCCACATACCCACCCCACCCTGATTTGTTGTGCCCACTGTTATCAGCACGACCTTTCTAAATTGCAAACTAATCAAGACACTCGCATCCTAAAACCTTCCCGAGATTCCACAGCCTTCACAATGAAACCTAAGCTTCTATCAGGGCTCAAACTGTTTCTCAAACTTCTTTTGGCTGTGACCTTCAGTGAGAAATGTATTTACATTGCAAGCACACACACATACACACACATGCATACACAAATACACAGGCACGCACACACACGTGCACCCACACACACAAAACAAGTTTTGCAAAACATTTGCCCTTACTACGTGAGATGCATCCTGATATTATCTATTTCACTGTTTTGATGCTGGTGGTGACCTATTATAGTGAATGCACATTCTGCTAATGTACTGAGACACAGAACATTAAAAAGTGCTGTCCTATGAGGTCCTTTACTGGACCCTGCACCATTCTGGGTTTCTGGTCTCATCTCACATCACTCCGCACCGCCATCTCTTTGCCTCTACATTGCCTCAGCTCTCTCAGTGTGTAACACTGTCTATTTACCTCCAGGATTTCAAGTCTTCTACTTGCTCAGCCTGAAATTACTCTTCTAACCCACCCCCATCACCAACACCCACCTCCCCTATGCACAAACACACGCACGCACGCACACACACACACACACACACACAGCTCAAATCACACCACTGCTCTTTGCCGGGCTACTTCCTACTCACCAATAACTGTTTGGGTACACTATCCCCTCCTTAATGCAGCCCTTTCCTGATTCACTCCCTCACCCCCACAAAATCCAAACTAGAAGCTCCTGTTATGTGTGCCCATAGGCCATCCTCTGGTTCTTCCCATTTTGGAGTCTCTAGTGCTTGACAAATAGTAGAGACTTGGCAAATGAATGCTGACTGAAAGAACAAAGAAGCTAATATACATTCAAGACAATAGGCATATCTGAAGAGTAAAACAGGAAAGTATTAAGAACTACATTAGAATTAAGAACCATAGTATATGCTTACTTTGCCACTTCATTTACAATTCTGGGCTGGTCAGCACAGAAATCCACTTTAACAATCACTGATGACTTGGGCTCCACAATACCATTACTTGGAAAAATGACAATGGGTAATTGGCCCTGGTATTCTGCTTTAAATGTACCTAAGGAGAACAAGAGCAAATGGTTTACATCTGGATCCTTACAGTGTCATAGTCACACCCTTAATAGGAGACAGACACACATTACAGAGTGTATAGTCTATTGTGGACCAAGAATCACAGCTTTGACTATAAGTTTAGTCTCTGGGGTCACCCAACAAATATGAACTGATTGTTAGGACTCAAGCTTCATTGATAGTTAAAATATACTATCTGCTTGCAATGGTCAGGCACATATGCTAAGAGCTTTGTATATGTTACTCCATGTAATCCTCAGAGTGATTCTATGATATAGGTTCAATTATTACCTCCATTTTATAAATAAGGAAAAAAAAGCTTAGAATGGTTGAGTGATTTGTCCAAAGACACACAACTATTGTGGTAGATTACACAGCTGACCCCAATTCTTCACCCTTCTCTGCACCTTACCATGACACTACCAGGGACAAAGTATGTTTTCCTATCCCTTGACTTGGGGCCAGACCACATGATTTGCTTTGGCCAATAGTGTGTGGGTTGAAGTGGCAACATGCCAGGCTCCAATGCCACATGTTCTCTTGCACCTCTACCGTGTAAAGTGCTTGAGTAGCTGCTGTCCCTTTCGCCTGTGCTTCAGAATGAGCACACGTGGAACAGAGCCTCCAGCTGACTCACAGACCTGCAGTGAGTAACAGAACATCCCCAACCGCCTAAGTTTGAAGCAGAGCTACCCAGCTGAGCCCAGCTTAGATCAGTCAAGTTCCAGCCAATCTGCATACAAATGAACAATTAAAAAATAATTGCCTTTTTAAGATACAGAATAGTGTGTGTTTGTTACATAGCAATAGTTGACTACTACAGTTAGAAACTAATAGGGTTGGGATTTTCACTTGCATGTTTCTGACCAAAGGGCTCACATTCATAGCCACTGCCACTTCTCTCTCTCTCTCTTTTTTTTAAGATTTATTTACTTATTTAAGTAATCTCTACACCCATGGAGGGCTGGAACTCCCAATCCCAAGATCAAGAGTCGCCTGCTCTACCAACTGAGCCATCCAGGAGCCCCATCACGTCCTGATCAATGAATTAATGCAGTTCACACGGGGAAAAGGCAAAAGGAATGTGTTTCTAGAATCAAACAGCATGGGAGAAGGAGGCTAGAAATATGTCTTATTCTGAAAGCAGAAATGGTTCATAATTGATGGTCATGTTTAGTACCTGTATTAGAGCATACATTCCTTGAGATCACATACTATGTCTTCCTCATCTCTATGGTTCCAGCACCCTACACAGTGCCTAGCACCAGGTGGTACTCAAAATATGTCCAACAAATGGAAGTAGCCAGTCACGAATTTCCTTAATCTCATAATGCAATATAAACACAAATGAGCATGCTGCCAACATAAACAACTTTGCAAATTCCAGCTCACCAATTTTAAATCACATTTGATGAAATTTTCCAAAATTACTCCATTCACTTAGGAAAATAAAATATTAGCATAATAAAAGTACTGACAGTATAAAAAGGCAATAAGACTTTTGTTAAGTACAGAGATGATCTGATGAAAAAGTCAAACAAACTCACAGTAACAAAATTTGTTCATCCGATCGTTTTAGAGAAGTGCTAATAACATGATATTTAAGAGGTTTTTCTGTCATAAAACAAAAATCTGTAAAATTATATCCATTTCAAATAAATAGGTATTATCGACTCAATTCTCCAGAAAAGGAAAATTACGTGAGTCTAGTTAAGGCTGAGTCAGTGAGATATTCCTAAACTGTAATCACTTGGATGTAATTTGACAAAAGAATTTAAGCAAATATTTCAAAAGTTTATTTAGGAACAACCCCAAAACCAAAAGAATATTGTTCAATCTTCTAAATATATTAAAACAGTGGCTACACAAATATTACTGGGTGTTATATAACTTTAATGCCACTAGCAGTAATGAAATATTTGACTTTTATTTTTAAATTACTAACAATAGAAGCAAGGACATCATCCTAAGGGAAGGGTGTCATTGAAGGAAGGATGTTACAGAAGGCATTTTTGTCATCAAATTTTCATTTCTTTTTAGATATGACACTGGCTGATGTTTGGAAAATGAACTAGAAGGAGATAAGGGACTTCAGAGAAATACTTTCTTGTAATTACCAAGCAAAAGAAGATGATGGCCTGTTGTAGAGAAGAGGATTACTGACATAATTAGGAAGTTGAATAGACAGGATTTAACAATTGACTAAGGGGGTAGGAGGTGAAAAAAAGGAAGAAGTCAAGGATTGTGCCAAGTTTCTGACTTGCCCAAATACATGGTGGTGACATTTAATGAAAAGGAGAAAAGGAGTTTTGGGGAGAGGTGAGGAGCTTAGTTTTAGACATGTGAAGTTTGAGAAACCTGAAGGAAATGCAAAGGATTGCACAGACCTCAGTGAACTGACAGGAATGGAAGTGATTGCCTAGAGGGAGTGTGTTGACTGAGGGAACATGTGGGTCCATGGCAAATTCTAAGAAAAGCTCACATTTAAGGAACCCCCCAAAAAGGGACAGCAATCCACAGAAGAGAATTGAAGAGGAGGGAGGCAGTAGGAAAGAATAATTCTAACATCAATAGTAAATATTTATTGAACACTTACTATATATCAGAGAGTGTGCTAATCATTTTATTAATCATCATCACAATTAGAGGAGGCAGGCATTATGTTTATCTCTACAATGGATGTTCCAGAAGTGTAAATTCCTTGCCCGGGGCCACCCAGCCAGTAAATGTTATAAGAATTTGGGTCCTGGAAGACCTCACTCCAGAACCTGAGACACTATTTTATATAAGGTACTGAGGAGTCATAGAAGCCAAACTTTTGGCTTTTTTTTTTTCAAGAGAACACCAGTGGTCACCTGTGTCAAATGTTGCTAATTAAGTCATGTAAAATAAACAGCCTTGTCCACTGAGATTTGGGAGAGCACAGGGCACGTGAGGCTACCCACAGGTGTGGCTGGGATGACAGGTCCTTTGCAAAAACCTGTACGTTTTTGGAATCTGAGTTGCTCTACCTTCCCTAGAGAAGCAGCTCAGTCACTGGGTGATGAAGTATATACACTGTCACCTTGCCTCTATTCTTCCAAAATTCTTTTAGAAACGATGAGGTAGATTTTTGTGTAAAAGTATTTGTAGTATTTTATTTTTTTCTTCCTTTCTCCTACACTCATCTGTCTTGCTCCTTAAAGTCCATGCAAACCATAAGGGACACTGAACTCTAGGAAACACACTGAGGGTTGCTGGAGGGGAGGCCGGTGGGGGGATGGGGTAACTGGGTGCTGGGCATTAAGGAGGAAATGTGATGTAATGAGCACTGGGTGTTGTATACAACTGATGAATCACTAAATTCTACCCCTGGAAAAAAAAAAAAGTACTTGTAATATCAAGACAGGGCAAACAGTCTATATTTTTATAGCATTCTACTGAAAATCAAGAGTCACGGGGCGCCTGGGTGGCTCAGTCAGTTAAGCGTCTGCCTTCGGCTCAGGTCAGGATCCCAGGGTCCTGGGATCGAGCCCCGCATCGGGCTCCTTGCTCAGCGGGAAGCCTGCTTCTCCCTCTTCCACTCCCCCTGCTTCTGTTCCCCTCTCTCGCTGTGTTTCTCTGTCAAATAAATAAATAAAAATCTTTAAAAAAAAAAAAAAGAGTCACATACCCAAGGTAATTGTTATTTCCTATGTATGCTTTTTTTTTTTTTAAGTTTCCTTGAATCTAAGCATAGCAAGGATATACCAATCTTCATATGTCTCCAAACGACTGTTTTGGAGACTCTTCAGAATGCCCATATGGGATTAAACAGGTTACTTGTAACTTCAATCACCTTTCATTGAAAGCTTAATGGTTCTTTTTTTTTATATATACTAAAATGACAAAGCATTTTCTTCTTTTGTAATATCCTGGTCAAATTATTTTTAGAATTATTTTAATTCAAGTACAGTTGACATACAAGTAATGATTCTTTTCTGAAACTCTGAGAGATCACTGAACCAAATCTATTACACAAAGGTTTATAAAATGTCTGCTGTATGCCAGCATTGTATTATGCAAGAACTGTACATTGAGATTCCATGACAGCAGTTTCCAAGAAAACAAAAAATATGTATTGAGAATAAGTAGTGGGTGCTTCCCTGAGTAGTTAAGGAGGATTCCAAGGACCAGTCCTGGAGTTGGTCCAAATTAGCAAACTTCCTGGTTCTTAGATGATGTTAGTCTTTTCTAGACAGTGAAGTAGAGAGATGATGCTGATGATCAGGGAAAGGGGGAGAGTGGGCATTAACAAGAGAAAGGTCATACCTTTTAGGCAAAATAACCAAATAAACCACTATTCAAACAAAGAAATGGTGTGTGATGATCACACTAGGGACTTAAAGACTGTTCTACATCATAGCTCTCTAGTAGAAAAAGTCTTCTCAGATAACCTTGAGGTTACTGAGGGGAAGAGGGAAATGACTGCAGTTCCAGGCATGCTAAAATAATAATGCTTTTTCTTTTTTTTATTTTTTATTGTTATGTTAATCACCATACATTACATCATTAGTTTTTGATGTAGTGTTCCATGATTCATTGTTTGTGCATAACACCCAGTGCTCCATGCAGAACGTGCCCTCTTTAATAATACCCATCACCAGGCTAACCCATCACCCCACCCCTCTCCCCTCTAGAAACCTCAGTTTGTTTTTCAGAGTCCATCGTCTCTCATGGTTCATCTTCCCCTCTGATATCCCCCCCTTCATTCTTCCCCTCCTGCTATCTTCTTTTTTTTTTCTTAACATATATTGCATTATTTCAGAGGTACAGATCTGTGATTCAACAGTCTTGTACAATTCACAGCGCTCACCATAACACACTCCCCAATGTCTATCACCCAGCCACCCCACCCCGACTCCAGCAACCCTCAGTTTGTTTGCTGAGATTAAGAATTCCTCATATCAGTGAGGTCATATGATACATGTCTTTCTCTGATTGACTTATTTCAC